AAAGCCGAACTTGAACAAGTTTTGTTACAAGATGAGTTATTATGGTTTTAAAAGTCTAAAAGTAATCGGATTTTACTTAGGGATCAAAACACAAAATATTTTCACACCTTGACAATGGTGAAGTGTAGAAGGAACAAGATTGATTGTTTAAAGGACGAACTTAGGGAAATGGAACTTGAGGACTCGAATTTTCTAAAGCTAGCGATGGATTACTATAAGAAAATATCCACGGCTTATCCTATTTTTGTTTTAGCATAGTCTCTTCATTGTGCATTCAACCTTTTATCCTAAAGACACTTAAGTGCTTTAACTCGCTTCTTTGTTAGACAAGGAGATCAAACAAGCTATTTTTTATATAGATCCATACCGCCCAATTATCCACACTACACTCCTAGTCTAGTAGAATAAAATCATTTAAAAATTTTTTAATTATAATTTTTTATTTAATTAATTTTTTTCAAATTTTTTTTAATAAAAATTTTCTCCTTAAAAAAACATAAATCATTCTTCTTTACGGATTGATTTTCAAATAAAAAATTATAATAATTTAAACTAAAATATTAATCAAGAACTCAAAAAATATAATTTTCATAATATTGTATTCTAAAAAATAAAGTTATAATTAATTGGTAGACTTTTATAAAAATTAACAAATGGAAAAAATTCATATTTATTGTTGATGAGAAGATTAATTTTTGAAATTATTCACGCAACGCTATGGGTAGATAGAATAAAATCATTTCAAAATTTTATAATTTTTTCATTAATTTTTTATTTAATTATTACTATTTTTTGTGTGTTTTTCATAAAATTTTTGTATAAACAAAAAACATGATTTATTCTTCTTTATTTAGGAATTCTTAAAAAAAAAATCTGTATTAATTAAAACTTGAAATATTAATTAAGAATTCAAAAAAAAAAATACGTAAAAATTATATTTTTTTATAATAATGTATCCAAAAAAAAGTTACAATTAATGTATAGACTTGCATAAAAATTAACCAATAAAATAATAAAATTTTATCCTTATTTAATGTTGGTGAGAAGATTATTTTTTTTCAAGTATATGCATTTGATCTATATATATTTATTTATAAAATAGATAATAACATTAGCATAAAAATTGTATTTGAATAATTGGTTGGTTCCTTTAAAAAATTATGTTAATTATAATATTTTAAATAAATTGGTTCTATAATGTAAAAAAAAATATTTATAGTAAATAATTTGTAATATGTTGGAAGATTTATAGTTAATTTTTAATAAAATCAATGATTCAATAGTTTTTTATATGTCTTGACCTTACCTAGTGAACTGAGACAAATTATTTGAAACACAATTTTAACCTTTTAGAATAATATATATATATATATATATATATATGCAATTATCATTTAAAAATTTTAAGAATTCATGATATATATTACATCAATTTGTTTCTTAAAAAAGAAAAAACAATCATGTTTTAAAATTTTATTCTAAAATTCAAATATAGAGAAAAATAAATTATATTTATCAGTAAATAAAATTTTATATAAAAAATATTAATTGGATGAGAATTTTCATAAAAAAAGATAAATTCAAAGAATAAATTTTAAATAATAAGAGTAATATAAGCTGAAGTATATGTTAATTTGAAAATATAAAAAGATAGTGTGTGTGTGTATGTGTGTATGTGTCTATATATATATATATATATATACACGTTGCGTAAAAATGAAAATAAGGGATGAAAAATAGAAAAAAAATATTAAATTTGCATATTAATGCCAAAAACACACATCAAAATTACTTAAATTACCATCAAGTAAATAATAATTTTATGCATATGAATAGTAAATGAATAGGAATTTTAGGCATATGAACAATTCGGATTCTCGCACTACACTCGCCAATCGAACTAAGCATATTTATTTCAGTTTAATGTCATATACTATATTATCGATTAATTAAAATATATTAAATTAAATATAAAAGATAAAATTTTATCTAATTTTATAATTTTTAATCAAATTTTGTATCTACATATGTATTTTTTATGTTTTGAATAAATTTTCAAGTCAAAAAAATATATATATATGATTTGTTCTTTCTTATGTTTTTATTCTTAAATAAAAACCCGTGATAAACAAATTTTAACATAACCTTTGAAAAAATATTTTCATATTTTTTTCATAACATTGCATCGAAAAAATAAAGCAACAATTAACATAAAAACTTGTATGAAAATTAACAAATGAAATTTTTTACCGATGAGAAGATTATTTTTTAAAATATATACATTTGATATATATATATATATAGATTAAATAATTAATAATATTAGTATATAAAAAATTATTTGAATTATTAGGCGATTATTCTAAAATATTATTTCAATTATTTTATTTGAAAAAATTCATTTTAAATATTAAAAAATATAATAGCGAGATAGTTGATATTGTGTTTGTAGATAAATAGTTGATTTCTAATAAAAATCAATTACTCAAATATTATTATTTTTTATATATCACAACCGTACTCAATAGGTGAGAATGTATAAAATAAATTAAAAAATATTAAAAAAATAAATGGTAAAATATATATTAAAGTTAATATAGTGCATTAAAAACTATAAAATTGATTTTGATAAAATTTGAATATATAAAAAATAAGAAAATAAAATAAATATATTCTATTTTTAAAATTTGATTGTATAAGAATTAAGCAAATAAAAAACGAGTATAAAAAAATCATTCGAATGCATACATAGAGAAAATAAATCATATTTATTGATAAATAAAATTATATTAAAAATAAGAATAAAAATTAATTTGAAGAGAATTTTTATAACAAATCAAAAAAGATCAATTTTAAACTATAAGAGTAATATATATTTATTCTAAATCTAAAAATATATCGTATATATTATATAATCATCGGTTTGTGTGTAAAAAAGTAACGATTGATTTTTTAAAATTTTAATACTCAATTAAATAAAAAAAAGGAGCATAAATTGATGGAAAAAGAAAAAAATAAACCAAAAAAAAAAAGAAAAAGAAAAGAAAAGACATGTGTAATGTATCATATAGGGGATTTTAAAATTTTAAGGACCAAAATGAACTAATTTGAAAATTAAAAAAAAAATCAGCTATAGTAATGAATAGTGATTTATAGGAGTTTCTTCCGCACTCACTACCTTCTCTCTTATCAAAGTCGAGTGGAAGATCATAGGTCTTAATGTTTATGATTTCAATAGGTGCCTCGACTTTTAACAAGGTACTCCAGTGTTGATCCCTAAAGTGGAGGCCATATAGACTATTGGCCAATTATGCCTAATAGGACTCTGCAATGTTTCTCGCAAAAATCGACAAAAGTATTAGTCAAATGAATTAAACCCATCCTACCATTATTAATTTTTCCAACTCAAGTCAGCTTTTTCCCTAAAAGACATATCTGTCAACGTTAGCCACTTGCAGAAGGGGCCTAAACAAGTGAATTGTCACCTAATTGATCGAGGAGAACTAGGAAACCCAAAACATAGTGATCTACATGGATATCCGGATAAGGGGTCGAGTTATGTATGAGAAAGATATAAAATCACCGTCATCTCGTCCTACCTAATGTAGGTCGCATTGTTGGCCTATGAATATAAAAATATGGTTTTTATTATGTTATACTTCTATGCCTACATAAATGAATTTATTTGATAAAAATATGAGACGAGATGGTTTAGATGTAAAACGGGGTAGTTTAGGTGTTTAAGCCGATCTAATATCGGTACTCCCTACCCAAAAGGGAAAGGTGGGGGAATTTGAAATTTTTGTTAATCATTAGTGAACACGACCTATTATCAACTAATATGTGAGTTTCTAAAGATGAGTGGCCTTTTATTGACATGAGTAGCTAGTCATCGGCAACTTCACTCACATAAGTGGAAAAGCCACCTACGACTTCGGATCATGAGTTTGAAGCTAACGATAATCTCGTCACACAAGTTGAAAGTTATCAATCACTTTTTTAGCTTAAGTAAGGAGCGGATAAATTATTTAAAAGCAATCGGCGGCTTCGTTAGATAAGTGGGAAGCCACCGACGACTTCATTTCAAACAAATAAACATTAAATAAAAATTATTTTAAAACCACTAACGGCTTCATAACATAAGCGAAAAGTCATTGACAACTTTTTTTTGATGAGATAAGCGATAAAAGATAGAAAATAGGAATCGGGAAACAAGAAACAAAAATTAGGAAAAATAAGAATCGGGCATCAAACAAATTGATTTCTAAATCACTAACGGCTTCGTCACATAAGTGGGAAGCCATCGGTAGCTTCATTGTACCATTGCAAAAAATCATGAAAAGTCAATTGAATCACAAAACCGACACAAACTTCACATTTGGACGAGACGGGCATAATAACGGAAAAACATGACATATTGTCTTTTAATGGTCATTTTAGTAATATTTCACTTTAACCGCATTTAATTCGTAAATGTTAAACCAAATATCATAATTTTAAACACATTTCAAACACACCAGTCATTTTTAACCTTTATCATATTTTCGGAAGTGCCATGGTTTTAGGACTTTTACCTAAGAGTCCTAAAATGTCGATGTTTGATTTGGAGTCAATTCTACCCTATTTTTCTCGATGATAATCGATTATTCAATTAGTTGAGAAAGGAGGATAACTACCGATCGATAATTTGGGATGTGAATGCCACCGGGGTGGCCAAAAACTCCTTCGTTACTTGGTCGCAAAATTTGCGGCGTTGCGGGTGTAGGGTTACGGGGTTCCTAAAGGCTCCATGTGGCTTTTATAGCTTGTTTTCCTGTCAAAAATTGAAGGAGTCTGTCCGAAGAGGGCTTTTGGAAGTGTTTTTGGAAGGTTGTTGGTAACGAGTTGCAAGACTAGTTTTGGGGGGATTTGGTGGATTTTAGGTCCGTTTTTGGGTTCTGTTTTTGGGGTACTTTGGGGCTTTGCAATAGGCTGGAATGGGGGTTAGTTGTTGAGTTTAGGGGCTGGAGTTTGGGTTGCTTGTGAGATGGGCTATACTGGTGTGAGGCGAGAAAGGAAGGGGTTATGGGGCTTGGGGGCTACGAGTCGTGTTAATATGTGTTTGGGCGGTAGGATAGAAGGGCAAGGAGAGGGGTTGGAGCTTGGCCGAGATGTGTATGGATGAGGCTACGGGAGAGAGTTGGAGTGGGCAAGGATGCTAGCTTGGTGTAGGGTAGGGCTAGCGGTATGGTGCAAGGAAGGTGTGGGTGTGCCCACGAGCTACCTGCACACCGGCATGTTGTGTTGCATTTGAGGGGGATGGTTGCGAGACGGAACTTAGGTGAGCAAGTCATTCATCGTGCAAGCTAGAGAGGGTGAGGCTGCGAGGAAGAGCTTACCGTGGCTGGTCGTGGAGGAGACTTGGGCGAGTGGCTATTTCAAGTTAGGGAGAGTTGGTCTAGTGTGGTTTTGTGAGGTGGGAGCTCTTAGTTGTAGTAGATGGAGAGAGAGGCGACCGAAAGAAAATGTCTTAAAAAATGGGAGAGATGATCAATAGTTTGTACCAAAGAATACATGGGAGCTTTTTTATGTAGGGTTTTTAACAAAGTTTCCTTTGGTCCTTGGCTTTCTTCCATGCATTAATTTAAGGCCGATTTTGCTTCGTTGTTTTAACTTGAGCCTCCCATCGCAAATAATTGAGACTTTTATTTTAATTTGTTCTAATTGTACCCCTTTTCATTTTAATTAAAGGACTTGAAGCTTTGATTTTTTTCAATTATGCCTTCGATTGTCTTCTTAATTGTTTCCAACTCTTTATTTTTCTCAATTAACTCCCTTCTTATAATTAATCTAAACTAGACTATTCTAATTGCTCCTTTTTTTTATATATACTTTTTTCTTTTCTTTTTTTCTTGTTTTTTTTTATATTTTTTGATATTTTCGTAATAATAAAAATAAATAAATAAATAAAGGGGAGCAAAAATTAGGTGCCAACAATATCAATGATAACGTTGTCATAGCTCGGGAGTTATTTCATAGTATGAGAAGGAAAAAAGAGAAAAAAGAGTTTTATGGCAATTAATGTTGATATAGAAGAGGCACATGATCGACTGGGTTGGAATTTTGTTCTCAACACTCTTCGTGATGCTGGATTACTGGATGGTCTTGTGTCTATTTGGCCAAAACTTGTGTGTTCTACTCTCCCAATATCTCTAAACAATTGGCTAAACAAATCAGCTCTATCTCAGGTTTTACTCGTACTGACAACTTAGGAAAATACCTTGGGGTGCCTTTGATTTATGGCCGTATCACGAAGCAGACTTATCAGCAAAATTATGGAGGAATTCTGGAGGAAGCTTTCAGGATGGCATGCTTAACATCTATCTCTAATAGGGAGAATTACATTAGCTAAATCAGCATTGTTAACCATTCCAGTTTATACCATACAATCAGCTAACCTTTCGATTTCGACTTGCAATGTGTTGGAAAAACAAAGCAAATGGTTTGTGTGGGGCTCTATAAAGGATTAGAGGAAAACTCATTTGGTAGGATAGAATCTAATTTGGGAATCTAAACTTCAGAAAGGCCTTGGTTTGCGAAAACTCAAGACAACTAATGAAGTGTTCATGATCAAACTGGGATGGGAGCTTCTTCAGCACAATAGTTCTTTTTGGGATCAAATTCTGTGCAGCAAGTATTAGCAAGCCTTATCTCCTATGTCGTATGCTCTTTCATCTCAAAATAGATTTGTCGTTTGGAAAGGTGTTGCTGTAGTTTGGCTTTTTATTCTTAAAGAGCTGGGTGGTCTGTTAGAGATGAGACTAAAGTAATTTTTGGGTAAGATAACTGGGAGACTAGTGTTGGCCCACTTTTCCAACAGGTTTCTAGAAATATTCCCAGTTCGCTTATCAATTCAAAGGTTAGTGAGTACGTGACTGCTTCAGGTCAATGTTAATTGGTGGGATAAATTTGCGTCTTTAAGTACTACCGCAAAGTATTTGTTTACGCATTACTAGTGTACAACCTCCCAAACTTCTCTAGGTGCTGACCAGCTTGTATGGAGGATAAATAGTAACAGCAATTTTTCGATAAGATCAACTTATTACATGCATTGTGAAGAGTCATAGCAGCATCCTCACTTGATTTGGCATTTGGTGTGGCAATGAATGGCCCTGAACGTATTTGCATTTTCCTTTAGCTAGTAGTGCTTGGTAAGATCCTTACCAATGAGTAGAGAATAGTTCGACACTTTGCTAATGATGATACTTGTACTATTTTCTATTCTCACAAGGAATCCATATTGCATGTTTTAAGACGCTATCAGCAAACTAGTTTGATATGGATGGCTCGCAAATCAAATGATGTTTATCTCTGAATTTTTTTTGTGACTGATCTCAAGGAGTGGATGATCTGGAATCTCCCTTGTTCAGTGCCAGTAGCAGGAGGAATACCTTGGGATATTTGGTTTGGTGTGGTTTGCTGAAGAATCTGGCTTTGGCGTAATGAATCTATTTTCAATCTTGAGGCAAGCATTTGAGTTAATTCGTTGTTTTCTTGAGATCCTGTAGTACCACTGAAATAATTTCTTGTAATCAAGCTACTTCTAGGCCTGATCATAAGTCTGTTAAGAAGAGAGAGTAGTTTATGACGTGGAGTTTTCCTTCGGTTGGTTTTGTTAAGTTTTACACGGATGGATCTTCCTCAATATCAGATCAGATCTTTGTTCTCTGTCCTTAATCTATCAAGTAAAAACTTCTCTCTCTAACTCTTATATTTTTTTTAATTAGATAAATGTTATAAAGTTTTAGTAAAATTTTGTTATTTGTTAGTTTATTAATTTTTTGAATCTTGTTAATTATCTTGTTATGTTAATTTGTATGTAGTAGTTTAAATTTATTAGTTGTTATTTTATTTCTATAACTTTTAGATTAATTTTGTTAAGTTTTATATTTTTGTTATGTTAATTGTTAGGTTAATTTGTATATTAAAGTAAACCTTAAAAATTTAAATTTTGTTAATTTTGAGTTGTTAGATTAAAATTTAATTATTTAATTTTAAATTTTTATTTTTATTAAGCGAATTAATTATATATTTATTTGTTTTTAGTGTTAGGTTAATTTAATTATTTAATCTCATCGTTTCTTCCACTCGACCTCTAGTGGATACTCCGGTCGAGCCCTCCACACAATATGATGATAAGGATATCAAATTAGACGAGTAAGATAAGTGATATAATATTCGATCACTTTGTTTATTTATTTTTTTTATGAAACTTATTCTAGAATGATTTTATTAATATTATATTATTTTTCATAAATACATGATTACTTATAATTTTTTTTATTAAATATTAATTATGAAATGTTATATTAATAATTTAATTTTAAAAAATGTCAACAAAAGCGATGGAATTGCGAAAAATCGTTTTCGAAATTAGCGGTGGATTGGTGCTAATTTCGTTTTTTGAAATAGCGATGGATTTATTTTCAAAATTATCAACGGAATAGTGACAGATTTATTTCAAAATTAACGACGAAATAAAGACGGATTAGCTAGAACAAAATGACTGATCCAATGACAAGATTAGCGACGGATTTTTTTTATTTAGCGATGGATTTTTCATTGCTAAATGTTACGATGGACTAAATATTCCGTCGTAAAAAATTAGTGACAAGCAAAATAGTGATGAAAAATTTTTCATCATTATTCACGAATAACGAATGAACCAAGGCATTTAGCGACGGAATATTCCGTCGCTAAACTCCTTTTTTTTGTAGTGTATGTAGATTTAGAGTTAATTTAATCTAAATGATAATGATGCTATGTACTTCTTTGCTTTTTTTTCCCCTCTACAATATTGATGGCTATTCTTTTAGACAATCACATGATATTTTTTTCTTTTTTTGTTTCAATTCTTAAATTAATTTTGTGAAAAATCCTACAAACATATTTAAAAAATTAACTAATGAGTTGTTGCTAGTATTATACTTTTGTTTCTAATTTATAACGTCTTGATCTAATAAGAATTTCTTTCTACATTTATGGTTGTTCTTTAAACAAGCACATGATTTTATTTTTTTTCATTTGTTTTCAAATCTCAAATTAATTTTGTAAAAAATCTTGTAAGCTATTGATAGTATTATATTGATAGTAAGCTATTGATAGTATTATATTTGTATTTTTAATTTATAATGTCTTGATTCAATATGAATTTTTATCCATTTCAAGTTTGCAATTTTGACATTTCATATAAAACTTTAGAATTATTTGATTTTGTTCTTTTTAATGGTCAAGCATTTTGATTTCTTTTAATTGACATATTAAATATTATCATAATATATTTTCTTACACATGTGGTGGTTGAAATGTATTTACATCGAAACATGATTTGAATATAGTAATTTTGTTTTTTCAAAAAAAATATTGAATGACAAATCTCATGGGTATTCAAATCCGATTTACATCCATCGAATCCGTATTATAGTTAGAAATTGAAATTTTGGATTTAAATTCATATAATCCAATTTGATCTGTTTATTACATATTAAATTAAAATTCATTATGATTCGATCCGAACCGACCCGGATTGCTAAGATTTTTTATTACTTTATAAACTATCGAGGAAATGTGATTACTTCGTCAACTAAACATAATATCTTTCTTGTGCGGAAAGTGTATCCATCAATTAAGGATTTTATAATCCGGCCAACAAATGTGGATTAATACGAGGTTTTCGCAATGAAGTGCCATGCCGAGAAATTTTATAGTATTAATGAAGTAACTATCAATATGTATTTTATAGATTCATTTTGAGATGAAAACGAGACACAAAAAAAAAAAAAAAAATCAGAAGCCATAAAAATAGATTAGTGACATGATTTGTCCCTATACTTTTTAGACTTTATTAATACGGTCTATTTGTTCCATCATTTTTTTTAATCGGATCTCTCTACTCTTTAAATTTTCTTATTGTGGCCTTTTGATGGAATTTTGATCGAGCTATATATATATATATATATATATATATATATATATATATATATATATATATATATATATATATCAAAAGTATTGAGACGAAGTATGTGATTAATTAATCTCATAAAAATAATAAAACTATTTTCATCCAAATTAAAAAATAATTTCTTAATTTCCCCTTTTGTGTTTCTCTCTATTCTATATCCATTTTATTCTATAAAATAAATATTAATAGTTACTCACTCGAATACTTAAAAAATTTCATGTTATATCCTAGCGTAATTTTTCTTAGTGTTTTTGGTATCATATGGTTAAAAATACCTTTCATCCTCAGCAAAGAAAAATGTAAAAAGAAATTTTTTCATTTGATCTTACGCTCTTTTTTTTTTCCCATAATCACTTTGCTCCTCGATATTAGAAATAGCTACTCGCTCAAAACATAGGTTGCTAATTGGAATGTTAGATTGTTATATTATCCTATATAATAATGGAAAATGGTTTTTTACTATAGCAATGAACGGTGACAATCACTTGTTCATTGCTACAATGTTTTTTTTTTAGTTTTCACTTTTTTTTTGGGCCAATGATGGCATTCTTCCCTTTTTATTAACGTGTACTTGTTCATTTGAACAATAAACGACTTGGCTCCTCCTTTTTTTCCTTTCTAAACACTAAACATTTTTTTTAATTTCCATCCGTTTATTGTTCACGTGAACGATAAATGACTGGCCCTTTTTTTCCTAAAAATTGAATTTTTTTTTAATTTCTATTTCTTAATAATATTGGGTGTTAAAATTTTAAGAAAACCAATAATTTATTTTCTTTATTATTTATTTCTAAAATTTAAAAACACAAATAAGAAATATATAAATATAAAATTTTTTATTAAAAAATTAAAATTATTTTTTACAATAAAACAGATTATTAAACTGAAATAATTTTTCTAAATAATTTTATATATTTTATCTAATCCACAGCGTAACGCGGGTCAAATATATATATATATATATATATATCTTTTACCTTTATCTTTCCACTCATGACCCACTTAATTAGAAAAAAGAAATTCATTTCGTGTGGAACAAGTTCGCATACTCCTTTTTCTTTTTTATCAACCATTTCTTGAAAAAGATCTTTCATATATTGCATTTGTATGCTTGTTCTATTCTCTAGGAAGGCTACGAGAAAAAAAGATTCTTATAGGAAGAAAACAATACATTTATGAAATAATCCAATTTTCTTAGGTAATGTTCCCCTATAAATAATAATTTTCTTATATATTGAATTAAATTGAAGAATTCCATATAACCCTAATTCATCTTAGACGTGACAAGCCTCTCACCTAAACACGAGAGGATAAATTACACTCTAAATTGTTGAAATTCAAGTGAACACCCAACAAGACGGGACTCCATTCGAATCACATGAGGGACAATAAACCTTGCTAAGTCACCTCTAAGGGCATTCCTAGCGGTCTTATCTTGAATAATAGATCCGGACCATCAATTCCATTCCCATTAAATAAAAGGGACAAATAATATCTATTAAACAA